TTTCTTCTGCCATTGTCTTTCCTGCAAATAATCAAGGGGAGTAAATCCTCGTGACAGCATCACAACAGTGCTGGGTTTGCGAAGGAGCTGCTGGAGGAAATGTCAGCGTGCTGCTTAAATAAAATTGACTGTGTGCTGCTGCTCTGCTGCCTTGGGATGGATCTTTGGAGGATGACGGGGAGCTGGGAATTAAGGGGGAGTGGGGAAAAAAGGCATCTCTGGGCACCTTACATGGATTTAAAGGCAGCAGAGGCCAAACCGAAGGCATCAGCATTAGGCAGAGCTCCCAGTCCCGGTGCTGTAGATGTGGCTGGGGGGCAGCAGAGGCAAGAGCAGCCTGGGGGGTCCTGTGTGGGTGCTGTGGGGTGACAGGGGCAGCCATGGGATGGGGATACCAGAGCTTTCATTGCTTTGCCTTTCTTGTATGTATCTGAACCATGGATCGCTGTCACCTGTGGACTGTGACCTTCCCCATCCCTTACCAGTTTAACCTGAATTAACCAACCAGCACCCAACTGGCCTGGGAAGTTGCGGTGCCTCAGTTCCCTGTAAGGGTCTGGCATGGGGACAGAGGATGGCTCCAGGTTTGGGACTTGTCAGTTCCAGGTCTTTCCCAAAAGCTGAATTTCCAGTACCCCTGGTTGGAGGGCTCTGCACCCCGGGGTCTGATCCCACCTCACAGTGGTTTAGGGCGTGTGGGTCCCCACAGGCTGTGGTCACTCGCCTCCCCCCGTGGTGACAGAGTGACTGTCCTGCTGTCCCCTCCCCGGGTGTCCCTTTGCCACTTCCCCGCGTTGCTGCCAGCTGAGATCTGCCTCTCTGCTTTCTTTTTTTAAAGCCTGGGACGTGGGCTGTTTCCTGAAGTGCCATGCATAAAGCAGCTCGCCCAGTTTTACCCGAACTTTCCAAAATGATTTGCATCTGAGATGAGACAAAGCGTGGACGTTGGCTGCCCAGGGATGGTGGGATCTGGGGGAATTTCAGTGTGTGGGACCCTATGGGGCTGGGCTGCCCCTCCATCTGCTCTGCTCGCTGTTTGGAAGCATTACACAGCTGCTGGTTTGGGACAATTTACACCTTTTTTCCCCTCTGTGGGCAAATCCAGTAGCACCCAACCCTGCCTGACCCTGGAGGGGTTGAGCAGCTCTGTGGCCCCTATAGCCATCTGTGTTCTCCATAGGGGATGCTATGGGGCGTGCGTAGGCACTGTGCTGGGAAAACTCCTTTTTCTTGTAAAGGGAGAGTCCGTGTGCTTGAGATGCTTGGGACAGAGCTGGACATGGGGTGCATGGTGCCTGTGCCGGGTCTCCAGATGGGATCTGGGGTTCCTGTGGTTCCCACAGCTCTCCTGGGTGCTGGGGTGTGGAGAAGGGCAGGATTGGGCCCTGATGGACTGGTGGGATGGTGGTGAGCATCACAATTAACTGGGAGAGTGACTAGAGATGGTCTGTGGGGACACACGGTGCCCATCCTGGGGCTGCCGGCGCATCCCAACTTCTGCATTTACTCTTTGGCTGCAGAGGTGCCCATTGGGTCCCTGTCACCCCCAGACATGCACCACTTCTCCTGGGGCATGGGGCACAGGCAAGTGCATGCTTGAACCCTCTTTTTTCCCTCCCCATCCCAACCATCCACTGGGGTAAATGGGATCCCATGCTCAGGCTGGCCTCGGTGCTGATGTGAAAACCCCCTCAGCCTGGCAGGGGATGGGGTTTGGAGCCGTTCGAGTCCAAAACCACGCGTTTGGGAATGCCACACAGAAATAACCCGTCCCTTGGCACCGTTTGGGTTGGTTGTTTGGGGTCTGGCTGTGAATACCAAGCTGCTGCCCGTGCCCTTTCCGCACGCGTGTTTCGCCGAGTGAATGGCCGGACTCTAAAAACCTGCTCTTTTGAACCAGATTAATCGCATTAGGCTTTGTCAATGCAAAAATTACCTCATCATTGGCACTGGCAGGTGGTGTAGAGCAGCAGACTTATTCAATATTTAAGAAAGCTGCATTGCAGAGCTGAGAAGGCTGGAGAAATAGGTTGCCTGTGTCAGTGTCTTTGCTGGTGGAGACGATCTCTGCAGGCACCGCCGGGTGTGAAATGTTGAGCTCACCGTAAAAAATCTGATTATTGCACCGGGAGCATTTTAAAATACTGATATTTTTTGTTTGTTTTCTACCCCAGTATGTTATTTCCACATGGTTCAACCAGTGCATTTGGGCAGCCCCATCGTGGTCCCTCTTTGCATGTGCCCGGTTTGTGGTGGCAGCGTGGGTCCCTCTGGTGGCTTTGGTTCCAGCCCGGTGCACCCCCAGCCCTACATCCCCTCTGGTGTCCATGGGGCAGGGTGGGCTCTGCCATGGAAGGGTGAGAGGGAGCAGCCAGTGCCACATGTGATGAATTTTGGGTGGTGGCAATGGGATGGTGAGTTGGTGCCTCTTGGCTGGAAGCGAGCGGGATGCCGGCGGAGAGGCAGAGTGATTTGGGGAGGGCTTTGGATCCCAGTTTTATTGAGGCACAATCAAATTCCCAGGCTCCGTCATACCGAAGTAATGGAGCGGCGCGATGGGAGTCATACGGCTCTTCCTTGAGGCCAGAAATTAAGACCTTGCTTCTATTCCTGGGATTTGGCGCTGGCGGGAGCGGTTGCCTTGCTCCCCCACCACCGCCTGCTGAGGGGATCTGGGGCCAAGGGGACCAGGGGGGACAGGTCCTGGTCCCTCTGGGGACTACTGAGCCCTGGGAGGTCTTGGCATCCTCCTGGGGTGTGATATTTCCACCTCGTTAAATGCTGCTGCGTCCCATCCTTCACAACTTGGGTTCCCACATCCTTCTGCTTGTGAGCATGGATTTGGGGTCTTTTAACCATGAGCTGTTATTTTGTTCTTTATCGCACGCTGAAAATGCAGGAGCGGGCATTAGGACAAGCAAGAGTAGTTGCTGGAAGTAATGCAAAGTAGATTTCCAAAGATCTATTATTTATAGGCGGAGGGAGAGGCTGGTGTATTCCTCCCTGGGCTCTTCTCCATTCGCAACACGGTGAAACCCCTGCGGTCTCCCTGTTATTATTGGAAAGTTCTGGCTCAGGGGCAGAAATTTCCCTCCCTACCAGTTGGTGATTGCTCTACCTGTTTCATTGGGAAAAAACAGGGATTTTTCCCCAATTCTTTGCAGGGCCAGGGTGGCCATTCCCGCTCTGCATGACCTTGGGCAACTCCCTTATCTGCCCACATGTCCCCAAAAATGGGTGCTGACAGCATCCCACTGCCCATCCTTCATGGCACCCCATTAAATCCACATCCAGCCCTGTGAGACCCCCACTCCTGGTGGGACCCGATGGGACCCCCACTCCTGGCAGCGCTTTGCTGCTGCAGTGCAGGTTGTGGAGGCGGCGGTGGGGATGTAAATGAGCAATTTGCTTATTTAACCGACCTTGTCAATCAGATCCCTTGGGTTTGGCACGGGAACAGTCGCTGTGTGAAACCAGCAGAGTGCTAATTACCCCACGTGCTTCATTACATTTATGTATTTTTATATCTACGTGTATTTTTGGAAGTGGTCAGTGAAGCAGAGGTGAGCCCCAAATCTCTGCTGGCTCCTCAGGGGCTGATGGAGAAAGCCCTGCAATGTTGCAGAGCAGAAAGCAGAGGATGGAGGCTTTAATTCCCCCCCTCTTTTGGGAAAATGGCACATTTTTTCACCGCTCAGGGTTTGTGTTTTCGGTGGGGTGGCTTTGCAAGCTCTCATTTGCCTTGGGACCACCTCTCCTTGGAGTTTTGCTGAGCTGGAGTCGCTCTGTGCCCTGCAAAGGTGCATTTGCCGCATTTGGGCTGAGCTCTGGTCCTGCTGGGACCCCCCTGTGGTGCTGGGACCCACAGGGACGTGGATGGCTGAGCCGTCCCTTCCAGTCGGGGGAGGGAAATGGGGCAGCATCTTCCCAGGGCAGCATTTTTGGGAGGATGCATGGGGATGGACGTGCTCTGCAGAGGATTTGGGGTTTTATGGGGTGTTTTAGTGGCGCTGCAGACAGGAGGGAGCCATTCGGATGCAGGAGCTGCGACAATGCAAGGGGGAAGCGATGGATCGGGGAAAACCTGCGGATGGAAAACAGTTGCGCTCACAAAAATCGACATTCTTAGGGGTTCTAATGAAGTTTGTGTCCTCCTCGGTGCCTTGTGCTCTCCCTGGTGCTGCAGCAAAGCTTTGCAGATGGATTCCCTTTTCTTTTTTATTCGCACATTGATGACTGTAAAGGGGGGCTCAACCCTGGGAAAACACCCAGAAAGTGGCGATAAATAAGTGCTCAGGCTCTGAATTTTACATAATTTTTCTTTTTTAATAAAACCTGTCAGTTTTGGTGAAAGGAGAAGGGTTTGGAGAGGTCCCTTTTTGATGAATCTTCTGGAGGTGAGCAGAGAAATGTCATCTTCGGGTCCTGTTGCTACCTCCTCCTCCAGCTCCTCTCCAGGTTTCATTTTGCAAGAACTTTTCTGAACAAAACTGAAAAAGGAGGAGTTTTGTTCCTGAGGGAATGCGGTTTGGGGCAGGGCAGCACAACGTGTGCTGGGGTTTTTTTGGGGAAAGTTTCCTAGTTTGTAGATTTTTTTTCTCTGAAATGGAAACATCCTCTTCCCTCCCACCTCAAAGCCTGATAATTAATGGGAGGTTGGGTATCTCATTAATTACATCCGCGTCGTGGTGCCCTCCTGGGAGGGAGGCGGTTGTAGGCTCCTGCATCTTGAACACAGTGTTGAGACAGCGACTGAAGTGACGTCCCTGTTCCCACTCCTCTTAATGCCCAATAAAACCCTGCCCATTGTAATTTTGTGATATTGGGTTGGTTTTTTTTCCCTTACAGCCTGGCTGAAAGCACCAGGTTGCCTTCATCAGCATCACTGCTGCCAGAGAACACAGGCAGAGGAGTGAAGTGGTTGAGTTCTCGGGTGTTGGTGGAGCTCCGGCGTGCGCAAATTCACGGCGCCGGTCCCCGGGTCCCCGTGGCAGCCGGTGATGACCGACGCGGTGGTGGGCGGCAGCGCTGACCGGTGGATGTGCCCCGGTGACAGGACCATGTCTCTCCGGACCAGGTGAGAAAGGGCTGGGGTCCCCAGGTGGGTGATGTGGGTCCTCCTCTGGGGACACTGGGAACTGCATTTGTGCCAGTTGGATGGGGATATATTGCCTCCTAAACCCCCTGAGAAAGGGTGCTGGGGACAGGCCCGTGGATGGGTGCTGGTTTTGGGTGCCTGGGTGAAGCTCATGGCCAGAGTTCGCTGCAATGAGGGGATCCCTGGAGAGGGATGAGCCATCGAGGACTGTCACCCCCATGGGTCCCTTTTCTCACCTAATCCTTCTTCCTTCTCTTTCCTTATGGCTCCCAGTAGCGAGAAGGAGCAGTAAGTATCTCACTTTTTTCTCTCTTTTTTTTTTTTGGCCTGTTTTTCTTTACCTGCCACTCCAATGCTTTTGAGAGAACGGGGCAAAAACCCTCACCCTGGATGCAAGAAAAAAGCAATTAATTCTGGGAGGCGGTGCATGGGGTTTAAATGAATTTGAAGCTTGAGTGTGCAAATCTGCTCAGCCCAGGGGAAAAAGACCCAGGAAAGGTCTTTAGAGGAGCAGAAGGGTGAGGTTTGTCTTTTGCCTCCTTCGTTAGTGTTTCCCCTGCTAATTTGTGGGGTTGAGCGGTAGATGTTAATGGTGTCACCAGGTTAAAGCTGCCTGATGCCTGGGTTATATCAAAGGGTCTTTGGAAATGATGTTAGGAGAGAAAAACCCTGCCGTGTTTGGTGAAATGTACCCAAAAAAACCCCACCTGCTCCTGTAGCCATCGCCCGAGTACCCCAGCTCACTGATGAACCTGGCGTTACGCGGCAGAGAGCAGGGTGCATCATTAAGCACATCAGTTGATGCTTAACGTGGAAATAATGAGAATATTTTGGCAAAGGCAATTTTTCTCCATATGAAACAAGTGTTTCCATATGAAACTGCCCCAAAAATGAAGAGTTTCCACGTGGCAGGTAGGGGCTGTTTGCCAGCCAGAAGAGGATGGGGACGTCCCGCACCCCAGCTTCCCTGGACTTGGGAATGGGCACTCAGTTATTGCTCGCGCATGGGTGTGATTGTACATGTGTGCGTGCACATACATGATATATACATGCACATACATAGTATATACATGCACATACATGATCTATGCATGAAGCCGTGTCCCCAATGTCCTCTCAGGCTCCCCGCAGGCTGGACGGCGCGGGGCGGCCAACCCGACCGGCAGCGCAAGGGCGAGGAGCTGACAGACGAGGAGAAGGAGATCATCAACCGCGTCATTGCTCGCGCTGAGAAGATGGAGGAGATGGAGCAGGAGCGCATTGGGTAAGGCCATGGCACTGGCACCGGGGGGACGGGAGGGACCGGTTGGCAGCTACCGCACTGCAGCGTTTCTCTCAGTCGGAGCCCATGGGGACCTCTTGGAGCTGGCGTTGGTCCTCAGCCAGGAGGAATCTGTGAGCAGGGGAGGGAGCCACTCGTGCTGCTCTGTTCTGGACTAAAGAACTTTTAGTTTCACTGATTTTCTTTTATTTTTCAGTCCAGAAGGGGTCATTAATAAAAGCTCATTTCCTGCCCAGGCCTGGGCCTGAGCATCTGTGGGTGCAGGCAAAGCCACCGCTCACCCCAGGGTGTTAATTTTGGGAGCATGGATGGTTCTGTCTTCAGCTGTGCGTCCCAGGAGTGAACCCTTGCTGCCACCCCAAAATGAGCTGAATAGCTCTGAGGGATGCCCACATATTGGGAACAGCTCCTGGGGATGCTGGGGCTGCCCTGGTGAGATACCTGTGGTGCTGGGGCATCCCTGTGCTGATGTGCCTGGTGTGGAGCAGAGGACAAGAAGTGCCCGTGTTTGCTTTCACTGCCTCTGCTTGGGTAATATTAGCAAAATAATGCTAATAGTTGGGTATGGACTCGCTCTACTGGGGCTGGTTTTCCAGTGGGGATCTCCGTAATCCCGTTTGTCGGTCGTCACGCCTTTTGTCATTACAGAGGGGCACTTTATTCTTGCTGAGCTTAAGCATCCACTGCTTTTTTTTGAGAAACACAGAGAGGACCTGCCTGGATCCACAAAGACTGGGCTTTAACCCATCACCCTTAAATAATGCTTAAATATTGCCTCTGCATTTGTGATGCACAGGCACTGGGTGCTCCAGTCTTTCTCGGTGGCTGCAGCCCGTTGCCTCCTACATGATGGGTTTATTTACTTGTTTTTAGAATTGCTTCGTTAGGAGTGGGGCTGTGATGAGTTAAGCAGGGTTAGGCTGGGGTTTGGTGTGTGGCTCCCCTGCTACCTGGCTGGTGTTGAAACCAGGTGAAAGCAGCAATGAATGGGGGTGATTCATCCCCAAAATGCTTACTAACAGCATTTCCTCAGCTTTGCCCATTTGCAGCCGGGTAGGAATTACTCTCAAGTGTGATGCTCTTTGGTTTATGCTTAATTCAACTTATCAGTGGGGGAGAGATTATTTTTTTTTTAAATTATCCCTGCATTGTGCATTCC